TTTTTTTTTTATGCGTTTTTCGGTTCTGCGACCATGGAAATGGATTCCTTGACGCAAGAGCAGCAAAAATGAAAAAAAGGAAAACAATTGAACATCTCGTAACATTGAAGGTCAAGTTTATTTTTTTATCCAACGAAACTATTTTCCTGATTTCTCCATCTCAAAAGCCTTAAAACGCTATTGAATTTTTTTCGCTAACTGTTCTCGTTCTCGAGACACCGTGCGCCGCTTAACACACTTCTGGGGAAAATACGAGGAGAGAAATCGAAGTGATAATGAGCTGCAACGGTGCCAGAAAAACGGTCATACGTGCCCCAAATCATTAAATTGATGACAAACCGCCTCAGTAGCCACAGCAGAGAAATGTATTGCATATACATAACTGAACCACCAATATACGAAAGCGGACTCGGACATTGTTTTACAGGCAGTATAACAAGGAAACAAGTTGAATTCGAGCATCTTGTCGTGAACGTCGAAGTCGATGTATCGCAACCCATGGAAATTGACATCAACATCAGACGATGACGTGGAGTGAGAGTACTCTTTTTTAACTGACTTTATTTTTTTTCCGATTTCAATAATTCTTTTTGCATCGGAAAGGTAGTGTCTCTGGTTTAAATCCGATCATTGGATCATGAAATATATATATATATATATATATATATATATATATTTTGATATGAGAATTGAAGTCGGTTTTGTTTTTTGCCTATTTTATACTAATTTGAGGTTGCTGAACAGAGTTTTCGAGATATAAGCGAAAATTCTCTTTTCGAGGGCTTTCAAAGTTATTGTCAGCAATAATCTCGAAAAACGTCCTTTGGAAAAATAAATGGATATCGAATTCGTGGTTCAGATCCTCAAATTCGTCTCAAGAACACCTTTTCAAAAATTCACAAAAATCTGTAAAGTAGAGGCTTTTTTTGTTTCAAAACTTAGTCCGATCTGAGGTGTCTCTTTATATTAAAATTCAATAAACTCTAAAACTGCATACCAAAAAGTTATAATTAAAAAGCTTGGAATTTGGATGAAATTTTTGTGGATATTTTTAAATTTTTGTCCAAAGTTTGAAATTTTATTTTATTATAAGCTTTTATTGCGCTTTACCTGTGTGTAATCAAATCTTGCAATCAATTTTTAACCAACTTCCCGATGAGCTAAAGACTTGAAACTTTAAACTTAGCTCAGAACCCGGGTGCCGATATATTTGGAAAACCCGTATTTTTGGTTCGATATGGTTCGAATTTGAAATGTTTATTACCGACATGGAAGGAAATGATTCCACACTTCCGGTAGGTGGTGCGGGGGTCGATTTTTTTTACTAATCACTAATAAAAGCTTGTCCTTAAAAAATGTTTTGCAAATTACTTTTTATTTTTTTGTTACATAATGAGCTATACTTTTACAATTAAATAATGAAAATTAAGGAAACAAAAGAAAAATAATCAAAAGAGGTCAAAATATTGAGAGAATTAAGAGACAGCGGCTCCACTGCCTTCATCAAGACCTGAACTTTAGGTTATAAATAAGATTTTCAACACAATTTTTTGAAATGCCAGATTGACAACTGTACTTAAAAATTTCAGGTCTTTTTTATTTTGTAATACCGTGGTATATAGTTCACTAAGGGGTTCTGTTAATGTTTGGGATTTTTTAGTTTTGTTAAAACCGAATGCCGTATTGCTGGTTTTTATTAAAGCCGCGAACGAAAATGTTTTCAGTTAAGTGGTACAAGCACCCTTTACACAAAGCAACTAAAAATTAATTTAAGTAATACAACATAAAAAATTAATTAGGCGTCCAACGATTATTCGTTATTTAAGCTTGTTAGAGGGTATAAGTATGTAGTTAGTAGTCTCATTGGGTTAGCGTTATAATTGAAGCCAGTTGCGTTTACGTCCAATTCACAGAGCTTCTCAATACAAAAAAGCTTAATTTTGTTGGCTAAAAGCGTTTCGTATTTTACATTAGTAGATACACAGAGGTACGGCAACTTGGTTAGCTTCTCATTATTTACAAATAGATTTTCTGGACATTAACGGGTTTTTTACTCACCCGCTTGAACAACACGCAGCCGCGCCGCCGCTTGCACACTGCCCGCCGGATTCGTGCCGACGCACTGGAACATGCCCGCGTCGGACTGCAGCAGACCAAAAATGCGCAGATTGTGACCTGCAACCAACTGCATGTAAGTGTTGGGCGTGATCACATCACCGTTCTTCAACCACTGGATCAGTGGCTTCGGCTTGCCGCGTATCGCACACTCCAACTCTAATTCTTCCTTTTCGTGAGCGGCCTTGTCCTTCGGACTCTTAATGAACTTAGGCGGCACCAACACTTGCACAGTGGCTTGCGCATCGAGTGAGTCGACTTTATTGCTTGCACGACACTGATAGTTGCCCGAGTCGGTGTCTTCGGCAGAGGAAATTTGCAGCGAACCCGTACCGATGATGGAGAATTGCGAATCCAGGTCATTGAGATCCAGCTCCTCGCCATTGCGCAGCCACTTAATCTGCGGCTTAGGCACACCGTTCGCCACACAATCGAGCGTAACGCTATCGCCCTCTTTTACGGTTTTCGGTGAGGGACCCACCAGAAATGATGGCGCTACTAGGGTTTCGCCACCTGGATCTGTCATCTTTTTGATGTTCAAGCTTGTCTTGCTGCTCAAACGCGACACGCTGCCCGATGTCACGTTGCACTGATAGGCGCCGCGATCGCCAATGCCCACCTCATCGATCTCCAGAGCGCCATTTGGCAGCACGACCATACGCAATTTGTCCAACACGAGCGGTATATCGTCTTTGAGCCATTGCACGGCGTGCTTGATGCCTGGCTGAACTTGGCCGATCATACAGCGAAAGTAGGCCGTCTGACCGGGCAGCAGATACGTTTCGATAAAGTCTTGATTTAGATCAGGCAAACGCGCTATCGACACGATTGCCGCGCGACTTACAATGCTGCCAATGCCATCAGCGCTTAGTAGACACTGATAGGAGCCGGTCAAGCCGCGATTCTCCTCAACTGAACTTATGTACAACGAACCGTTATTTAGCTGGGTGCGAAATGTGTCACCCACTATACCCAAATCCTGTCCATCTGGTCCACGCCAACGTATATTCGGTAGCAATTTCGCTGTTTTGCCGATTTGTGCTGTGCCGCCACACTGCAGCAGCACTGAATGTCCCTCCGGCACGACCACATCCTGCGGCTCAATTGTAAAGGTGAGCGCTGTAAGAAAACAAAAAGAAAACGAAAAGCTGAATCAGTCAGTACTCGTAAAAATGGCACAAAAGGCATTTGCATAATGATATGATCTGGTAGCAAATGAATTGCAGCGAATGAAATATACTTAGTATAAAGGATGAAAGAATCCGTGGCACATATGTCAGCATGGCAGAGTCATGATTTATAAATGATTCCATTCATTCATTCATTCATGCATGCATGTACATATGCAGTCATATGAAAGCCAATTGCACGTGCAACAACAACAAGGGAGCGATGTAAGACCAGCATGCGTGCCAGCCTGCCTAGCTGGCTGGCCGGGTGGCTGTTCGCTTGCGGCTTCATTATGCCACTCAATGCGTGCCGGCGCCACGGTAGACCCCAACGGACTGGTTCTTGAGCACATACATACATACATATGCATACAAAACACACACATACAGCTACAGGCGGTGGTTTTGTACATAAAAGAAACCCTGACCCCAATTTTTTCCATTTGCTTTTGCTGCTGCACTCACTCAAGTTGTCCTGCGTTGGGGGTGGGGGTGGGGGTGCGAGTGCGTCTCATTTCAATGACTCGGCGTTCGGTTGCTTGTTGTTGCCATTGCGGCAATCTGCCAGCTTGTAAACATGATGAAACAATTGCCGCAATACAATCTCGAGTAAGGCAGGAGTTTGGGGAGCTGTTGGCAGCAGGAGTAATAACTTTCGCAGATATTTGCAAGTCCTTAACGCATTGTTGGCCTTTGTTTGAGGTATGTTTTGTTTTAACGCCCGGAAGATGAGTGCAGTTGACATATTTTCCGAGTGTTTCTGCTAAAGAGCGCACAAGTAAGTATGTATGTATGTGTGTTTGTATGTACTAAAACAGGTCTTGGCGATGATAAACTATAGTAAGAAAGACTCGTTTGGTGCTGAACACGCTTCCTTAACATGGCCGAGATCGGCGCTTGTTTAAGAAACCCTAACCAAGAGGATCCCTTCTGGATAGATATTTCAAAAATGAATCTACTTATCAGCTCCTGGAATGACCATAATATGCAAAATACTGACTCGATTAATTAGATAAATTTATTCAACAACGCCAAAGCAAATTCGCACAAGGATAACCATCCTTCCGCTGGATACATTTCCTCAAATAGAATCCAGACTGGTCTGGTCTACTTAAATAAGATTCAGCCGATTTCAGCAACGATGATTAATAGGAGCAGCTTAGAATCGCTACAAAGTTCGAGTATTGTCTTGTTGTCTAACGCTTAGCGGGTTTCCCTATCTGTTGTTTCATTAACTGTAAACCGTCTGTCCAAAACAAGCGAATGTGCCACAATAAAAAATATAGTCGCTATGTATGTCTAACCATGGACTCAGTACATAGTAAGCGCCATTTTGATAGGAATTCTGGGGAACCTCTGGTATTATCTACTGTCACGATTAGTTGCTATCTTCAAACCACTTGATCTTGTTAATGAATCTACTTTTGGAAGTCTCCATAAGATTTAGAGGATATTTTATTGTTCGCTGATAAAGAAAAACTCGACGATTTCTTAGATGGTTGTAGTTCCTGAGTTTCGTTCCATTCCTAGAGACCAGCAAGATGCGCCTAGAAAAAAGAGGTTCGTCAAAGGCCGGAGTCTGTCTCTCGCTCTTCCGTCTTTTGAATGCCGAAGTGAAGGCGCATGTTTCTGCCTACTCTGAAACTTAAAACTCCAGGAAATATCCCTGAAGTTGATGTATAATCACCTAGCAGCCTCCTTGAGAAAAACCAAATGTTTACACTTTTGATACCTTTGCAAATGCATAATTCAATATTAGTTGAAAAATCATTTAACTTTGGGCAATTTAACTATTTCAGGATTTAAAACTAAGTATTTGAAATTGGTTGAAAAAAATATCTGCAAAAGAAGCATACTGACTTTGAAGTGCTCTAAGCCAAATGCATTTTAAAGTAATTGATATCAAATGCAGAGTCGGATGGATAATTGACTGCTTCGTAGGACATCGCCATGTTACAGTCAAAAGTTCGTTCCAAGGAAGAAAATCTGATCTTCAACTAGTTTTGGTGGGTAAAAAACTGGTTGAACATCAATATTTAAACTACCCTGCAAAAAATTGTGCGACTAATCTCTAAAGCGAGTATTCCGAGATTACTCTCAATCGGGTACAATTGGGCATTAATTAGTCCCAACTAGTCTCATACGGGTACTATTGGAGGTCAATTAGTCTCGACTCATCTCTAACGGGCACTAGTAACGATTTAATGATATGTACGCACTTAGTCAATGCAATTTCATGTGCGGCGTTGGCACGCAGAGAGAGTATTCGCCTAACAAAACTGGGCACTCTGGTTCGAATCTCAGCTGGCGCAAATTTTTATTTTTTAAAAGTGACTAGTCGCTTTTTATACCCGTTCGGGTATAAAGGTGAACAATTGGTCTCTTCATAGGACATGCTCGAACAAGAGCGAACAGTTCATTCCATATAAAGAGATCAAAAGTGGTATTAGTCGCATGCTCCTTTGCGATTGCTCCCGGAGTCATCCCGGATTAGTCCCATTTTTTGCAGGGTTGCGATTGCTCCCGGAGTCATCCCGGATTAGACCAATTTTTTGCAGGGTAGTTTCTTTCCGTACTGGGCTTGTATACATACACACAAACACATATGCGCGCGTCCATGTGGGTATATGCAGTTATAAATATGTATATAAAGATTGCATACATATTTTCCTATAAAAAAACGAATATGCAAAATTGTTTGCAGTGACTCCGTTGAACTGTACAACCCCTTCAAAGTCATACACAACAACAGCAACTTCCCATTGCCACAGTTAGCTGAGAGTGCAACACTTTATATTCAAATTAGCCGTACATACATACATACGTACGTTGCAAGGAGGCAGAGAAAAACTCACGCTTACAGAAATCGCTAAATCAACAATGATGACGTTAAGCAGACTCTTTGCCACGGCTGCCACTTGTTATAAAAATAACCAACCAAAGTCTGAAGAAAAAACAACCAAATTGAAACAAAAATCAACCAAATTGTTATCCACTTATCAATTACAAAAAGCAGAGCTTATTAAAAAAAAAAACAAAAGTTCAACAATTTTATTGAGCTTGATACCGATTTTTTTTAAATTAAAATTTTGTGGAAAAACAACATTAATTTACATTTTGATAGAAGGTATAGCTGCTATTTCGGAAATCACATATTTACTTTGTGCCTTTGAGTGGTCCAATTTTTGAGAGGGGAAAAAATTTTCTTCCTAGAAAACGGGACACCCCTCGGAGTTTTCCTTTTGATATTTGTAATACATCAACTTTCAATTTTGTACTCTAACCAATACAGGGTGCTCAATGACCTTGAAATGCGCTACAGGATCGCTGTGAAACTGGCAAAAGTATTGGTGATCCTTTTTTTAAATAATTTAAATTTGAAATGTTCTTAGGTTTCTTAACTAATTGCTTTATTAATATGAATATGTACTCAATACTTCTAGAGTCAAATATGAGCCACTTTTTCGGCAAGAGGAAAAATTTTGGAAGGTGCCCCAAGCCCTATCACTATAATGTGCATATCAAAACATGTTACATTAAAAATAGTAATTTGAAAAATTCATTTATTCATTTTAGGCATTCAGTATGCTATAATACTTTTTGTAAAGAAAAAACCAAACCAGAGAAAAAACTACCAAACAACAAAATTAGAAAAAAAATAAAAGAAAAACAACCAAGTTTGGTTGGAAACAACCAACAGTGGCAACCCTTCTCTTTGGTTATGTTAAAAAAATGAAGAGAGAGAGAGAGAGAGAGAGAAGTTATTCATGCCGCTGGCTACTTTTCATTAAAGCTGTTTATTTGAAAATGTTGATCCCAATTATGTAGTTAGTTCTAACAAAAAGGGCTTTTAGCTTAATTATTGTTTTGTGGTGTGTGAGACAGACTATGCTCGGAAAATAGGGGCTGTAAAGAAATCAATTACATATGTATGTATATATACATATATATATTTATTTACTCTTGTATTAAAAGATGTTTGGCAAACTTTCGAGTTGAAACGTACATATTAGACCGTAACGCAAAAAAAGTTCGATGTACATTTCTGAGTCTAAAAGTATTTTTGCAAGATTCTCTATTTTTTTTCGGTTACAAAGTTCAATGACCTGAAGTACCCCGTTTTAATGTCAGTAAATTAAAGTTCCTCAAAAATCATTAAACTTTTGCTAAAGAAGTATTTTGATTATTCGAGTGGAACTAAAAAGGAACGAATTAAAATAAGAAAATAATAGCCTCATTCATAAAAAATAAAGTAACTTTACAAAAGTTTTGAAAATTGAAACATGTATGAAAACGCAAATTTATAAAGCTTTTAAGCTACTTTATTTTTTATGAAACCGTTGAAGAAACCGTTCTTAATTTTATGAAATGTTTACTTCAATTTATTGAAAGTACTTCTTCTTAATTTTATGTGACGTCTTTTTAAATTCATATTATTAAATACAATATTGCCGTTCAGTATGTCCCGGGATTGTTTTTTCTTTAATTTTCTTTCATTTAGGTAACTTAATAAAAATCTAAAGAATTCCTTCATGATTTCATTCAAACGATAATCCTACTAAAAGTAAGAAAGCATTATTCTTGAAGAAAACCCATTGAGATATTTTTAAACTCCATTATTCCTATTTTCTTTTCTTTAAAGTCAAAATAGTTGGAAATTATACATTGGTACAGGCGAATGACAGTTTCATATAAAATTTCCTGGGAAAAAATACTCGTATAGTAGGGTCGAGTATCTCCTGTCTTGAAAAGCGATGAAATAATATTTTAAGTTCATTAGGATTTTTTTAGGAATTTCGATTTTTTTTTTTTGAAATATAATAGCTAATATAAGCCCCAATAGCTTTTTTCTGTAATATATGGAATTCTTTCAAACCAATGTTATATGGATTATACATGTACATATGTATGTAAGTATAAGCTGAGTTAAAATTTGTTAAATTGCCACTT